GCATTGTGACGATGTCACAATAAATAATTGCTCATTATCATTAAATTAATGTTAGCATAGAGTAAACATTATCTTTAAAATTTAAGAAATTAGTATAAATTTATTAAAATATATAAATTATTTATATATATATTTTTTTTTTCCTTCAAAACAGGAACATTGCTTAATGGGTATTAAGGGGACGGTTCGACGCAGCACCGACGGTGATTTCATCCATGCTAATATTGACATAGATTTGATCATATCAGAGGAACCCGAATATGGAAGTATAGAAAAACCAGAAGAGATATTCCACATCATTGAACATTTCTGTTTAGGCAGAAGGCGACTGCACATTTTCGGAAGAGATACCACGATTCGTCCCGGATGGCTGACGTTGGGACCCGATCTAACCAACAGTAATTTTAACAATGAAACGTATAATTCTTATTTTGGTAAAGGCTCCAACGACTATCTGACGGGATGTACGGAGAGAATAGAAGCCCTTCGTCCTAAATCTCCTCCACCCAAAGTTAAAGGAGGAGGAGGCGCTGGCGCCTCTTCTCGCGGAGGATCTGCTCGAGGAAGCGGTGGTAGAGCCAAAAATTTTGGTGGAAGAGGAAGAGTATCGCATCGCGGAAGATAACAAACTTCGCATTTAGTTTTCTTATTTAACTCGTTGGTCCCATTTAAATTTTTTTTTGCATTGACGTGAGAATATGATTCTAAAAAATGATTTGAAAATAATAATACGAAGTGGAGAAAAAATGTAAATTAAATCATTTTTCTGATAATTTTACAATAGTAAGTAAAAAGTTTTTATTTTTTATATGATTTTTATTTCTTTTGATAAATTTTCTCTGCAGACCACACACAATATCGTAATTTGAGGAAATTTATTAAGAAAGTTTTCTAACAAACTGTACACGGGATTGGGGATTTAACCCGTATTTGGGAAGATTTAAAACAATACAAAAATCACAACTCGTTTCATTAATTAAAACTTATTGGCAATGTTACTATATTAAAAAAAAAATAATAGAAGTTCTTTTTTAAAAGTCTTTCTTAGCGCCCTGTGGATACTAAGAAAGACTTTTAAACATGCCCATCGTGGGTTCGGCC